CATTTGTACACAGGTAGACATATAGAAAGATAGGTAGTATGTATGTATGTACAAACATGGGTAATCCAATACATAGACTGCAGTAGTATAAACATGGTCGATGCGTTATTCGTACAATGATGGAGCAGTCCACCTCTTGAAGAAGATGCTGGATAGACAGCACAAAGTACCAATCATCTCATCTCATCTCACACTTCCCATCCATCATTCGCCCACTGGCTCGACCACGCTGGCGTCTTCTTCTCCGTCAACCAAGGCTTGTGGGCCCCAACACCACCGGCGTGGCCGTGGCCGGCGTTGCCAAAGGCCTTCTTGTAGCCCATGTCCCACCGATCCTCGACCTCCATGAGCATGGCGCGCTGCGGCTGCGCGTGAGGCGGAATAGGGACTTTCGGCTTCGGGCGTCTTCCCCGCGGCGAACCCGAAGTGCCAGTACCAGACCCGGATCCAGAGCCAGATCTGGTAGAGCCCTTGGCCGTCGTCGTTGTAGGAGTCCCTTCTGTCAATTGAGGGGAGGCGTCGTTCTCAGCTTCGCGGATGATGGCCTTCAACTCTTTTTCGTCGCTTGTAATCTGCGCCTTGATGTAAGCGACATCACCCGAACTGTTCAGACTCGACATGACACTTTGTCTTGGAGTGTATGCATATCCATTCAGATCAATCGGCCCGTCCTTTGGCACAACGGCTGGGTCCAAAAACGCCTCGGACCCCTTTTCGAGCAATTGGTTGATGTCTAGACTCTCGCCGTGAGGGATCTTTTCCGGGTGGCTGGGCGTTACGCAGTCCATATCGACTTCTTTGCGGAGGACATGATCAATGTCTACTGCTGAGAAGAATGCACAAGACTGCGGAAGATCCTGGATACCGATCTGCTGCGAGAACATGGCTCTGGTCCATAGGTTGCTGATTTGTAACGCCATTGCCGCTCTATATCTGTCCTCGTGTTTGACCAGGTACCTGATCTCGTCATGCACGGTGATTGCGAGGCGAGCATCCAGGTTGAATCGCCGAATCAAATAGTCCATGCTGACTATCAGAAGGTGGAGGTAGTCGACGCCCGAGGACTGAATGGCCCAATTGATCCGAGAAGTCATGAAAGAGCCTTGGTTGATGAATCTCCTCATGAGAGCTTCCGTAATCCCAGCCCCCAGCACCGGCGTACGAGGTCGTTCTTGCTCGGCAAATTCTTCGAGTTTGTTGAAAACAAAGGACTCGGTACCTCCTCGCCAGAAACTGCCACTGCCAAACATCTTGCGCCTTGTACGAGTGCCTTTTGTTTCCTTGTAGAGTTTGGTCGCGATCTCATTTGTTTGCTGTTCCGATAGAGAGGGATTGAATTGCCGAAGCAGCGTTGCGGCGAATTTCAAGCCAGCACCATAAATACGACCGTAGTTGAACACTTTGGCGTCGTTGCGAGAGATTCCCAGAATCTTTGCAGTCTTGGAATGTAGGTCAGTCCCCGCAGCCTTGGTCCCTTCCAAAGTCATGAAGCCAATGGCATTTCCGCCGTGCAGCTGAAACTGGGCATCGCCCACAACGGAGGCAATCCAGAGTTCTTGACTATCGACGTCCGCGCCAACAAAGCAGTACCCTGGTGGTGCCTTGATCATGGCCTTGAGTTCCGATCCCACTCTGTTGGCTTTGGCGTTGGAGGCAGTGAGCCATGTATTCTCCACGGCCCGTCGAGTGATGGTACCCATGGGGATGATCTGAGGAAGAATAAACCCTTGATCAGACTTGCCGGCCAGACTAGGGTCCCGATCGGCTTCTCGGACGACCAGCTGAGAAGTGATCCTATCTCGGGCCGAGATCCAGTACGAGCACGATGCGTTCATCTCCAAAGCTTCTTTAGCCAGAGTGAATTTCGACGACAAAGTACCCTGTTCGAAGTATTGCAAGTAGCCCTTGGCGAGTGGCGACGCACAACGCGCTGTTGGGCCATCCTTGTGGGGAAGTTTGAAGTATGTATGTTGAAAGTCCGATTTCAGCTTGGGATTCGTCTCTTCTGACATGTCGCAGCTGACCACATTGCTGTGCTCGTATTTCCCAGTATCCTTGTTCGGTACTCGAAAGGTCCAACCGTGTTGATCAGACCATACCAGAGGATGGCCATCCCAAGACAACTTCAACAACAGCGGAGCAATTCTTGTGCGCACCGTCAAGTTTATTGGAGACGCGTTGGAGGTGAATAGATCTCGATACCAGTTGGGTGCGCCGGGCTTCTTTTGTCGAGCCACGGGGACAGGCTCCTCGCCCTTCTTCTTAGCTTTCTTGTATTTGATCTCTTGTCCTGTCCAGTCAAGCTGGTTGAGCCACGGATCGTTTTCGTAGACTTCCGGCTTTTCCTTGACCTCCAAAGCCGCCTCTGACAGTTGCAAAAGCCGCTGCTCGACATCTTTCAGTCTCTGGAGATACGTCTTCTCTGCTCGGGCGATATACTCATCCCAAGACTTATCGACAGGCAGGATGACGGACGACAAATGCCGGAGTGCGGCAAAGCTGACAGGATGTGGACAGGTCTCGAGGAAATTGGGAAAGACTTTCTGGAAGACTTTGTGCGTGATCGCCACATCGGCGGCGCAGTAGTCGAGCAACTCTTCGATGCGCTGAAGAATGCCTTCTCGGTCCAGTTCACCAAAGTAGTCTCGCTGACTCTTGTCAATCGTGATGCCTGTATGGAACTTGGCCACATCCCGCAATGAGTTGATCGAGCTCCGGCCAACCCAGAGTTCCTCCTCTTCCTCACTAAGCATCTTACTCTCAAGCATCCTCTGCAGCTCTACCGAGTTGTGCTCACTTGACATTTTGTCCCGCAGATCCCTGTTCTTCTTGTGCTTCATCCAGGTTGGCCGCTGCCTAGAGCACATGCCGTTGACGGCGACATGTAGCGACATGGTGTCGATAAAGAAATTTCTCGACTGCTGTAGGTCGTACTCTTCCTTGACTCTCGCCCGGTCATACCCAATGTTGTGTCCAACCACGATCCGCGGTTTGCTCGGGTCGCCCAAAGGTATCAATTGCCTCGGATTTGTCGTTTCGCCCAGCAGCCAGGGCGATATCCAAGCATACCACGCCGTAGGACTAGCAGCCGTGGCCATGACCGCGAAGGGCGATTCTCTCCACATGGTTTCCACGTCGAATGACAGCATCGTGTCGTCTGGCGCATCCACCTCTTCTGTCGTCATATCCGGGTTATACTTTGTCCACCCGCTGCGAATCGCCCATTTCCGTGGTCTTTGAGGGGTATTTGCTCGCACAAATTCCTTGCCATACGACAGGTAGGGCTCGGCTGCGTCGAGGCCCAGTTTGGTGAAGTGCTCGTCTAAGCAACTTCCGAAGACCGGTGGTACATCCAATCCGATGGGTTGGGTATTGTCCTGATTTTTCCCCAACAGATCATGTCGCCGGAGGTGGTCCTTGGACAATTCAACCAGCTCGGGGCGTGGTCGCGTGGCCCCAGCAGGGAAGACTTGGGGGTGGAGGTAGTCGCTCAGTTGTTGTATCCCTATCTCATTATACCTAGGATTCGCGACTCGGGCGAGGGACTTTCGATCGGCCGGCGAATCATTGCGGGAGCGGTCAACGTCGGAGGCATAGTGTCGGCGCAGAATGGCGGCCGCTCGCGATGCAAATTGTGGGCGCAACCGGAATTTTTGCGACGTTCTGATGTAGCCTCGCGCACATTGCGCGGGTGTAGGAGGCCACAGCATCTATGCGACTATGTTCCGTCACGGCAAGACATGTTGAGAAGGAGTTGAGGTGGGCAGACCAGGATAGGAGTCTTGACGTTATAGACTCAGGAGGCGAACACGCGATGCGCAAATGGAGACACCACATTGTGGAGAGATAAGAGGTCTTATCGCCACGTGACATACCCCTTACTCCTAACTTGGTAGATACTTTGGTGCTTTTCTCTTTACGTCTATTACCATACTGTGTACACAACCCGCTCGGCAAACACCAGCGCTTGATTCGACCTGCTTGATCGGGGACGAAGCAATGGCATTCAACGCCAAAAATCTACAGTACAACAAGCAAGAGCCTTCCTTTCTCCGTAGATTGAAAGGTGAAGTTGGAGGGCTCGATGGACGAAACAATGTCCAGATCCCTCGGCCAAAGAGGGACAGGTTAAAGACCGGCGACGACGACGAGGACGAACCAGTGATTTTGGATGAGCGAGGTGAGCGGGTCGAAAAGGCCGAGTTCGAGCGGATGATGAAGGGAGAAGACGGAACTCCAAACCCATCTGAGGCGGAAGATGCTAGTGCTACAGTGGCTCAAGGAGCCGGACACCAGGATGGCGAGCACTCTGATAGACAGAAGGTGACAGAGATCGGCTCTGCGGCGAATGCGAAGAAGAGGAAGGTCGGCAAGGTTGTTGGAGGCGAGGAGGAGGAGCAGGAGGCAGGCACTGACCATGGAACGGAGAACACGACGAAGCGCAAGGACCCTCCCAAGGAGAAAGACGAGAATTCCGTTGCAGCAAAAATCGGACCGTCTGCAGCAAAGCCTGCAGCTAAGAAGAAAGGAAAGAAAATCAAGTTGTCCTTTGACGATCCAGAAGGATGAAGAGAACAGTATTAGCCATTGAGAAGCCATTCAGACTGGTGACAACGAATGGACCGTTCCATCAGAATGGAATCAGAGACTGCATTCCAGGAATGGCCCATGGAGGAATCCGAATCGGACTGCGTCCCTACCTTGATGTGTCGGGATTGGCCAGCCGTGGAAAGGGCTAAAGGCTCAGCTCATGACCTCGGAACACCACATAATCCTCACGCAGAGGACCTAAGTCTGTTCTTTGACGACACCTGACCAACGAAGATGACGCAGATTGAAAAAAACCCCATCTGAGTCAAAGGGCATGATACGAATACATGCAACCGACATCAGCAGCCGGGGCATGCGACGATATCACCATTCAAAGTCGAATATAACACACAGAGCGTGGTATGATGGATCCTGACGGACCAGCCCTCGATGGAAACGCCAGGCATATCTCATCCCATCTCCCTCATGATCCGCCCAATCTCTCTCCGAGCAAACTTTTCTCTCTCAGGCCTGGGCATCTCAGATCCAGCCTCGCGGATAGCGACGACTCTCTCCATCAACACCTGCAGCTGCTCGACCTGGGTATCTTCATCTTCTCGACCCCTTTCGGATCCCTCCCCGTTATTCTCATCACTGTCGTCACCGTCGTCTCCGAGCATCGACATCTTCAACTCCATCATCTCGCGTTGGAGCTCCTGATCAAAACCCAGGAGCCCTGCGGTATTTCCGAGGATGTCCTTTGACGTAGAAGAAAACAACCCTTCAGCGTCCTCGTCGTCATCGTCAAGTTCTGCCAACTCATAGTCTCCGTGCCCATCATCTTCACCGTCCAAATGAGGCGATGCCGACCAATCCACCCCTTCGAGCACCTCAATCACGCGCTTGATCCCCGTCTTCTCGCCGAACTGATTTCTTTCGTCCTCTGCACCCCTGTTTCCATCCTCCGCCTCCGCCCCCTCCATTGCGCTCTTCGTATCTTTCCCCTCGCTCGCCGCCCCCTCGAGCTGCCCATCCCACGCGACAAAGTCCCACCCCAATATGCCCTCTTCGGACAAACAGAGCTCTTCCAGTCGCTCCACCGTCTCGTTTAACTTGGCCTTGCTCACCGCCGGCGCCGTAGCCTGTAGGACCACGGCAGAAGCGACGTCCCGGGTATAGCTCTCGCCCTCGACCGCCTCGCGCAGTGCATGGACAGTCTCGACGAGCGAGACGTACGAACGTAGTGTCTCTGCGTTGGGTGACTGTGGCGTCGCCACGGGGAGGACTAGGATGATTCCACCAATGACAGCGCGAACCTCTGCCGCCTCGGACGAGAGCATCTGCTCCCTCCAGTGCGAGAGGGTGACAGGCTCAGACTCGGACACCTTCCCCGATGCCTCTGCCGTTGCCACTGCCTTTTTCCCGCCATCTGCGTCGCCATGTTCCAAGGTCACAGTCAAAGGCAGTTCATCGCACCAGATCCCCACGTCGGCGGCGTAGTATTTCGTCCTCAACCGGAGCGGCGGGTGCGAGGTATACCCCGCAAAGGAGGCGACGTCGTCCGACGGCCGCGAGCCGGTGATTGCCTCTAGAAATGGGCGGAGCGGTGGCGTTGAGGTGTTGTTCGGTGGTGAGGGCGAGAGGATCAGGAGGCGGAAGGCCGATGGCTTTGTAGGTTGTGATGGTGGCGGTGGTGGCTGTGGTTGTGATGGTGATTTTGATGGCATCATCGTCCCTTTTCTGCCCTCCCCCTCCGCCAGCGGTGTCAGGTTGGTTGGTTACTCAGAGGAAGCTGGTTCTCGGACCCTCAACAGACGATCCTGATGATCCAGATACCAGGTCAAATTCTATGACTACCTGGTAAACTACTAAACAAATGTATCGCGGGTTCGAGAATCGGGGGTTTCAGTTCTTAATATAATACCGAGTGTCTCAGCCTTGGCGGGCTGGCAGGTCATTGTTTTCTAATGCATTCGTAAGCCGAAAGGCCGCAATTGTGGACGCCTTCCGCGCATTTCATTCATATTGAGGCATCGGGAGTCGTCCAACCTGTCATAGTCTGCTTTTGAGCTAGGCTCGATTCCAGAATGATTCATAGATATCCTGGAGTGCGGCCATATCTTCCAGAGTTCTGTTTTCTCACACACCATTTTCTTGCTCGCTTCCTTCTCGCCGCTGAGTCCGTGCCTTCCATGCGCGACAGATCTTTTGCTCTTCTATGTAAAGAGTTCGCGCGCACTTCCTGAAGAAACCATTTCCCAATTTCGCCGTTCCCATAATGGTCAATGTGCATTTAATTCCTCCTTCCAGCCCGCGCCCGGTTGACTGTAGCTCTTCCTCTTGCCAATCCGACACCGCGACCTCTGGTACCTCTCGATCTAAACATGGGCGCATTCCGTAGCATGTCGGGGACGATGAAGAAGCGTACGTGGCTGCCTCGGATGTAGACTTGATCGAGATGCGACACTCGACCGTCGCGCGCCGTGGCGGTGATGTCCTTTAGTTGGACATTCATGTTATCTTCGGCTGTTTAGAATGTAGATGTTAGCATCACAGCACAAGTCGTGTGTTGAACGTAATCGCAGGGAAAATAGAGTGAAGCGCACCCTCGAGAAGCTTTCCTCGGTATACTTGACCGGACGTGAGTTCTAAAGTCACCACATGACCCTGCATAGCGGGTATATAGTCAGCATACGTAAGTATCGGATTACGACCATGTGAAGTGCTCACCTGTGCCTCGTTGAGCAGCTTGATCGGGATGCCGATGGTGGAGGTGAGTTTGCCCATCGTGGGCGACCACAGGTGCAAAGGCTCGGCGCAAAAAGGGTGATTGAGAGCGGCAATGAGGAAACACAGGTCACAGCAGTAGCAACAAAATCGAGGCGTCTGCAAGAGGTTAAACGTTGGAGCTTGAAGTCGAGGCGGTTTGGTTTGGAGGCACCGCAGCCCACGAAAATCAAAGCAACATTTGACATTTTGAACCTGCATGACTAAGTCCGACTTAACTCCGCATCATTGTTCATCACTTCGCATCTGCGTCTCCATCCTCCTTCGCGTTGGCCTCGACTCCCTCCAAGAAAGAATCGAGCCATACTTTGACATGCCACTCTTTTCTAATGTCCCAGCGCTTCGCCTGACCCTAGCCTACGCTCTGAACGAGCCGTCGTGCCTGCTTCCACACAAAACCATTCCGACCCTGCTCCCACTCCCACTACCCATTGGCCCTTGGCTTCCCTCTCTCAATGTCGTCGGCAAGAAACCTACCATTCGTGCGCTTGTCATAGACAAAGACAACACCCTGTGTCCACCGGAGACGGTGAAACTGCACCAGGCATATCTACACAAGATCGAAAAGATCAAGGCGAGCGACGAGTTCAGCCACAGCCCGCACAGCATCTTGATCGTTTCCAACACTGCGGGAAGCTCCTCTGCGCCGGAACATGAAGCTGAGGCCAAGCAGCTGGAGACGGAACTGGGCCTTCCTGTCCTGAGACAGCATCCCGAGCGCAAGAAACCGTTCTGCGGGCCGGATATTCTACAATACTTCAAGGACCATGGCGTCACAGAGGATCCCAAAGAGATCGTAGTTGTGGGAGATCGCCTGGCCACCGACGTCCTCCTGGCCCGCGAGATGGGGAGCTGGAGTATTTGGACCCGCGACGGATGGCGTAATCCGGAAATTCCTGGGCGAGACTACAGGGGATTCTTCAGTAGGATGGAGAGCCGCTTCGAACGAGTTATGCGAGGTGGGATGGGAAGGGTAGCTCCACTACCAAAGACTGTATCATCATGAGGGAGAGCAAAACGACCAGAAGCACTTTCGTCTTCAATTCATTACTATCTCGAGTTACCCATGACTGGGATCCTCGACGCCTTGCTGGCTGGTACGCCATGTTTCCGGCTTGGCCAGCACCGGATAACCCATCATTTTCAACGGCCTGCCAACTGGTCTCCATCAACCGAGCTTCCCGAAGTAACAGTCGGCGTCCCCTTTATTGAATGGTATGGAGGAAGAGACTTGGTGTCGCTCGGGATAGCAGAAATTACTGCAGGAAGCTCGGACACATTGGTGGGCAACCCAAGCTGGCTGGTGCTTGTTGACTGGAGTCTGGCCAAGGGTGACTCGGCTGGGCTGGCAATGGGCATCGAGTTTGTCCTGGCCATCAAGTCCCGCTTGACCAGGGCACTATTGTCGGACGTGACCCTTCTGCTCACGATCTCGGCCACGGCTTCTTTGAGAGAAAACTTATTCTCCTTGACTCTGACCTCCATCCTGCCGGAAAAGGGGATCCTGGTCCAGGTACTTTTGTCCTCGACCACGGGCAGCTCTGCATCACTTCCTTCGGGAGAGGCGAACATGACAAACCTCACACCTTCAAAGAAGACTGTGTGGCTCGACCCGGAATTGACCAGACAGGTCGCGCGTTTCAAGTCGATCTGATGCCGCGAGCACCTGGCCCGGCTGGAAATGATTGTTTCGATGGCTTCGTCTCGGCCGATATTGCGCTCCGACTCGTTCTCGTTATCTGTAAAGTCTCTGGAGAAGAGGCTGTTGAGGTTGGCGCGACTTGGATTGGCATTGTCATATTCGAGAAACAGCCTCTTGAGGCACTGCAGGCCTTGGGGTGACTTTGTCGTGATGGCGTGGTATGAGGCGCTGTGGTCGTGGAGCTGGACTTTGCTCATGCTGACTGAGTATATTGTCTGGGCCCTTTGGCGTTGACAGAGAGTGAAGACGATCCTTTATTCTTATTCTTCGCACCTGATCGCCTGGCTTGGTGGGCTTTTTTTCTTTCTTTTTCTATTCGTACTCGTCCTTCACCTTCACGTGTACAATTCTTTGTCGCGTTGTTGTTGATTGATGTATGTACCAAGTAGAGAAGCCACAGTCCTCAGTCCTCGATCCTCAATTCAGTTCACCACCAGGAACCAGTTCGTGCCAGTGGCTGCCAGTGCTAGTGCTGGGGTTAGTTTCACAACCTGTTTCAGGCCCTCCGCCTCCCCTGTCTTTCCCCTTTGTCATCTCCCCATCCAATCTCGTTGGTCATTTCCACGGGGGGTTAAGCGCGCCACACAAGCACCACACATGGACATGCATCCCATCACAGCACAACGCAGCACATACTGTACCAGCTGGTGTTGGTAGGCACGAGTACCTCGTACTCCGTACTCCATACTCGGGAGATAGTCGTGGTCATACGTCATAGTCGAAAGATAAGGCCTCCAAGGCGCGCCGCCACTACGAGTCTACGAGGCTACTGTGCGAAGTACGAGGTACATAGTGATAAGTTACTCGTGTGGCCAGCTGAAAATACCAGCTCTCTCTCTTTCTCGCACGCGCGCGCCGCCAACCGAGGTTTAGTTGGGTCTAGTTGTCTGGATGAAGAAGGCGTTCTGTTCTGGCATTCTGTTCTGGGGTCAACTAACTAACGATCCGTGCTGGTGCTAGGCTGGTACTCGTGGTTCGTACTCGTAACAAAAAATCGGGTCGGAGGAGTTGAGGAGGTAACGCGATCGGGCGAACTATGCGAGCTGCGAGGTTCTGTGACTTGTGATTGGAATACCGAGTCCCTCGACTCGCAGGCAACTATGTAGGTAGCGAGCTAGCTTGGCTGCTTGGCTAGGTAGGTATGGATGGAGTCTGTACATCTGTACCTCGTACCTCGCAGATCCTCAAGTCCTTCTGTAGCCCGCCGTCGATTCGCAGCGAGTCTACTACTATTTGGACCAAGGACGAGTACTCGTATGTACACTACGGAGTACCTAGGTAGGCAGCACCAGCACGGCTGTCCGGGGGGTGTTGTGCCGAAGTTCTACAGTACGGGGTAGCGAGACCACACACCTGACAATGGCAAGTATGTAGGTACCTACCTACATAGGTACTCCGTGAGTTCGGAGCCCGAGGAATACCTTACAAACATGCAGCGAATTACTTCCCTTTCTGTCTCGTGCGTACCATACTGTACCATACCATACCCCCTCCCTCCCTCCCTTCCCTCCCTGCCTCTGTGCTGATGAACCCTGTAGAACATGAATGTATACCCCGGATCCATTCATGCGTGATGGTACGAGAACATCAAATAACGATCCTAGGATATGTACCGAGTACCAGCGTCTTTTCGAGGTAACCTACTCTTATCATCTTGGACCTCGTACGCCAGGCAAAGGATGCAACATGGCCCCCCTATACCTACCTGGGTACATACCTGCATACCTACATTACCCATCATACTCTCTTTTTCCTCTCCCATTCCATCCCCCTTTCCATTCCATTTCTTTTCATTCGGTACCTATGCATGTATATTCCTGTGCTTAGATCCATGCTTTGCGCAGCGGCCCGTCCCCACAGAGTAGTACCATTACCGTGACTTGATTGTTAGGTGGATTAAAGTATAACAGAAACTCAAAGCCTAGGAATGAATGAAAAACCCCAAGATTGATCGCTAACCAATGAACCTAACACAAGAGAGAGAGAAAGAGAGAGAGAGAGAGAGACAAAGGAAGAGAAAAAAAGGATAGAAAAAGAGTAAAAACACCTCGCTAGACCATGTAGACGACGTTATCAACAATATCCCCTCTCCTCTAAAAACCAAAGTCTCCATCTCCAGCCCGGTCACTTTCTTCACCAGCATCATCAATATACCCCTTGCGCATCCCTCATCTCGCATAGATGTTTGCCGAACTAGGAGAGAGGACCGGTGGAAGCTGTCGCTCGGGGGGAAAAAAAGAGGTTGTCAGATCGCATGATCGCAAAACACCCGGCGCCGGCGGCTAGCTGTGTCCACTCACGAAACCCCCTGTGACTGTGTACTCCTCGTCCTGTTTGCGGGAGTGTCAGAAAAAGAAAAGGACTCGGGCTCAAGTTCCCCCAAAATATTTTTTGAAGAGAAGGGGAAGGGGGAACGCAGGATTCAGCACGTACAAGTGAAACACCCTCCAGCTGCACCGCGACGTTGTTCATGGTGGTTTGGAGCTGCGAGTCGAACGACAGGTCGACGTAGTCGTCGTGGACCTGCCTCAGGAATACAAACAGGTTGAGGCAGTGGCCCTCGGTCCGCAGCTGGTGGATGCAGCTGGTCACCAAGGGATCACTCCAGACGGCGCCGCCGGGCTGGGAACTTCCCGGCGTCGCGATGGTGTTCACCACGGTGGTCAGATCATGGAGGCCCTTCTCTAGGCTTTCGTCGTGCGACATGTCGGCGTACGAGTGGGCGAGCCGTTGCAGGAACATGACCAGGCTCTCGTACTGGGTCACGTCGATCTTGTAGGGGACGTCGGCGGCCATGTCGTGGAGCTCCGACTGGAAGTGGGACGAGTCAAAGTGTGCCGACATTTTGTGTTCTGGGTAGACGATTCTCGGCTGCGCGCTTCGTGGACTCGGAAACTCGGGGTTGGCTTTCTGTTGGGGTTCGTCAGAAAAGGGGGTGTTGTATGTTACTGTAGAGCTTGGAGAGAAGATGATAGTCTTCCACAACGATCTGGGATCTCACATATCTTATACCTGCCTGTTCCAGTCGCCGTCGAAGCCAGCCACCTCCTACCAGGGCATAGACGACGAGATACGACCGCTCAGCCGTAATCGAAATAGTATACTCACGTTATACACCTCTCAAAGGCCAGCCGACCGGCCGTATAAAAAAAGCTCATCCCTTGCATAAAGCGGCCCTTGACCCGTCTGTCTCGCTGCTAGCCATCACTAAGCGACAGCCCGCTCCCAGGTAAAGCACTGGTGGCTTGTGGCTGATTCTGCTTGGGCGGCTTTCCAGTTGTCGTTTCTGTACATAGACCACCACCAGATCGAGATTCCGATGAAGATATGCGTCGTATACTAGGAACGGTAGGTGGTTCGGCAGGAGTAGTAGTCCACAGTGTAGCCGCTGCTGACGGACCCACCCGAAATCTCTTGACAAGCTTGGAGATCGTGGCACTTTCGAAAGCATGGATGAGGTCAGCAACGGCTGTGTTCTGCCGGAACAGTGGCTAGTCGCGGGGATCTCGACGTCCAGGCTAGATTGTACTACCAAAGCCATACACCTTCGACAAGCCCATAAACAGCAACAGCAAAGGCCGATTCGCCGGAGAGAATAACTGTGGAGAGCCAAGGCCTTGTCTGAGTATCTATGTTCGAATCTCTGTCCGGAGGGTATCGTGCTCGAGGCCAAAAGTAACGAGCTTGTCCAAAGCAGAAAATGCTTGGCTTCAAGGACATTGTTCCGGCCCCAGCGAGTGATATAGACGGATGATCCAAACAGGCTCGTGGGGCCACTTCTGACATCCTAGCTTTGGAAGATGCCCAGTATCGTAGTGATGGTTGGCGGTGTCCGTAGGACATGGGCAATAACTATCAACATTAGGAGTGTGTCAAATTCAAACCAAGCTCCTGAACTTGTGACTTGGTCGGACGCGAAGGAAGAATCGGGGTGGCCTGGGGCAATCGTCCTGTCGAGCCTTGTGGCAATAGACAGGTATAAACAACTGGTGGAACTGGTCTTGCACACTCAGGCATAGAAGACTGACTTCGGGCTCCATTGCAGACCCGATACGGTAGTCCAGTAGGGAAGGATCGAGTCCTGGTAGCAGCGTGCGTTTTCCTATTTGCGGGAACAATATTGATGTTCCGCAACAGAAACGCTGCCTGCTTACATCGGACCGTGAATAGAGTATGAGTAGTTAGTCTCCGAGCAGATTTGATAGCTTTCTTTTAGCCATGGCAGTGCCGGGGAGGAGGGTATGCAGCAGTCAGCTAGTACACGGGGAAGTTCTGCGTCCACTTCCGATCGGTATCTGTGAAGCTGTACAGTTCCTTTGCGGGGACCACCGCTGGTTAATGCCGTGTGCACTTGTCGACGAGCGCTTGATGGACCAGTCTCTAACATGGTACTGACACGAACTCGCGTCAACTCGTGACTTACAGTCTTTCATAGGGCACCCAGACACGAGGTGGAAGCCGGACAGCGATACATTCGCCAGGGTATGGGGTCGATGGAGGGAAATCCCGAAAGCGGTAGTGACCTGGGTGAAGCAGAGAGGTGTTTGTAGTTCTGATCACATATTCGTGCTGGCTGAACGACGTGACGCCGAAGACGAGGCTGGCGAATTAGCGCTATTATTGTGGGGTCATGAATAGTGCCAAGAGCCTTGGCACTATCAACGGGCTGAACCACATGGTCCCATTTGGAAGCCAACTCCCGGATGGGGGAAAACAAAGGCTGACTGCAGCCTTCCGACCGTCTCTACTCATTTCATTAAAAAAAGGACATGAGAACCCATGCAATCATGTGGCAGGCAGGCAGAGCGCAGCCTCCTCCAAAGAGCGTGAAGCAAGTGAACAATTGTCTCGCACACCGAATTACCCCCTAAACACCGTGCAGTTCAATCAGTAACAGATACCCTCATAGAAACCTGGCTACACGGTTGCCTTCATATTCGTCATGTCACTGTCATGTTCATTCATTGCCATTTCGTCATAGAAACAAGATTCCCATTCGCTCGGTCTCTGAAACAATCCCGACCCCAGCGCCATGCCCGGAAAACCGCAACCGCAACCGCAAATGAAAAAGCATGGCGACCAGCAATGCAGATTTGCAACCTGTCCATCCCACGGTTCGCCTCAAGCATATCCCGCCGCACCGCTCCCCTTATCCAGCCCACCGGAATGTCCAGATTAATCCATTAAACCCCTTCTTCGGAATCAATCTGTCTCCCCACAAGACTGTAACGACCTGCTGGCATTGATCTGCTACGTCGGCGAAGGAACCTCTACCTGCACCCGGCCTTAGCTGCTGCGCCAAATCTTGCACCAAGTCGCTCAACGCCTGCCATTTCTTGTCACCCGTCTTGTTTTTCTGCTTCATACTCTGCAGTTCGACGGTACCGTTATTATGTATGCGACGAATGCTCCAAACTGCATTGGCAAAGTCATCTCTCTCAGCGAAAAGCCTCAAAAGCATAATGTCGAGACGAATATTCCATTCCGGCACAGGCGAGGCACAGGGCAGGCGTAACGCAAGAAGACCGCTTGTCAGGGCGAGGTCGGCGGCCAGTTGCGGCTCCAGACGTGTCGTTCTTGGAATCGAATGCGTGAGTGACGTGGTCGAGAGTGTGGTTTTCGTCTGTGTTTTATCCGGTGGATGGACTGTGGAGACGTCGTCAGGCTTTTCGCCCGTTTCCTCGCTGATGCTGGTCCGCGTCTCGGATGTTGATGTGACGGATGAGCTGTCTTCGTGAGTAGCTGACGCCGAGTCGTCCGTGGATTGACCATCTTCTTCCTTCGGAATTTCCGTAACCTGGCAATTTTCACGCTGCTTTGACTCGGCAACCGCCGTTCCTTTTGCTGACAAGTTCTGCATTCTTTTTGCAATGAGCCGGGCTAAAGAACCGCTGCGAAGCTCGCACAGTCTGTATGCACTAACGGCAATTAGCTTGCACACCCGATTGATGCCATCCTTGCTCTTGGAGGACACATCCACCAGTTTGCTTGTTCTGGTGCGTACGATGCTAGAAGCCTCGTAGCACACGCGCTCGAAAATCAACTCGCCACTAACGAAGTTCCCTTGATCGACGCAGATCTCGCCCTGAAGCAGGACCTGCTCGAGGTAAGCACAGATTGCTTTGTATGTGTGCAGGTTAGGCTCCGTTTTGCTGGCAAGGACATGTTTGGCAAGCTCATCACGAAGGGGCGTGACCCGACTGTTGCACGTGTCAGATGTTACCTGTGGCTTATCTTCTGATGTGGCCTCTGGAATCGGGCTATGCAAGTTGATCGAGTTGATGTGGTTGTGTAGCCATGGCAACACAGCAAACTTCACAAAGCTGTCAGTTCGGCTGACGTACCGATACTGCGGCTCCGCGGGCAACGACAGATTGTATCCCATGCCTCTCGCAAAAGGACACTTGACCATGATCCAAAGAGCGTGCATAAAGTCCGCCGAGTCCTTGTAGCCGCAGACATAGAAGGGAGCGTCGGCCTTGGTATTTCCACCACTGAAAAGCATGACAGGGTCAAACCTGGACTCCCACGGCTTCGATTTATCGTACGGGGCGTTGATCAGCCGTGACGATGGAAAAGGCCCAAAGACAGGGATGCCGTAGTTTTTCAGCTTCGCGCCCAGCCCTCTGATGCCCGACTGCACCCCAACCACCTTGTTCTCGGTGTACAGGACCGTCTTGCCTTCCAGGTAGAGCTGTTTACATGTTTTCAGGATGGCGGGGTGTAGCTGGCAGCTATTTATGACCGGAGGGCTTCCGTTGATCTCTTGATTGCCTTTGTGCTTGAACGGCGCGGCCTCGAGAATGCGCCTCGGATTCAGGTAGAGCAACTCGGAGATGCTATTCTGCGGGGGTCGGCGCGTGTGGGCCTTGCGGTTGCGATCTATGCGCAGGAGGTAGCGGAGGATCTTGAGGCGAAGCTCAACGGGCAGCCGCAGCAGCGACGAGGCATTCGACAGATCTTGGGATATAGCAGGTTGTGGTTCTTCCTCTTCGTCTCCATCACAGTCGAAAATCAAACGGAGGGTCAAGACCTCCCTCGAAGGTAAAGGCATCTTCTGCGCATTGCGTGTCCGAGGTCGATGATGAGGCTACGCAGACATGGGCGTTCGAGGGTTGGGGTAACGGGGCCGATCTGGACAAATCGAGAGTTATGGCTGCGGACCAAGCATAGTGTGGGTACCCGGGTTAGATGATGTGAATAGCAGTGGGACTCTGGGGATTGTGATTATACAAGTTTACAATCGCCGGTTCTTGAGAGAAGGATGAATGCCTCGAGCTGGAGAGAAAGCGGGGACCATGTCTGGAGTTGAGGTGGAGAGAGAACGATGAATGTCAATGCGAATTCAAACAGCCAGATGAAAGAGAAACAATGGGCGGACAGTCTAGTAAGACATTCCTACCAGGAAAGATTCAGTGCTGGAAGAGATTTGTAATAACATGAAAAATGGATGCAGATTCTGTAGAGACAAGCAAAAGGGTGTCACGCAGCCCAAAGGATTTATTCTATCGTGACAGCGAGCAGAGCGAGGTAAGCGAAGCGAATAGATCGATCGCCGCACGAGGCACACGCCTGAGTAAGCAAGTCTTCTGTATCACGTGACGTTGGGTGCCAAAAGGGGTCCTGTCTCAAGACAAGGGAAACTACCAGGCAGTATTGTCCTTCCAAGTTTGTTGATAGCATGTTCACATTATCTCCATGTGTGCTGTCCGCTGCGATCTTGTCCTTCTAGCATACAAGGCCTCGAGTACGATACGCATGACCCGTCTACCCATCACCCAGGTTCGGCTCTGGCCATGCTCGCCCATCATGTCGGAATGGCACAACGTCGACAGTGCAACTTCGTCCTTTCAGCTAGTGTCCATATTATCCCCACTGACCTTCCTCTTCTCTCTTATAAAGTTGACAAAGTCGTCGATTGCCATCGGCCACGCACCATCTTCTGTCCACCAACTCAGAGACTCCCCATCCGGTTCTTTGGTCTTCATAACCAATTCACCAACCATATTCCACAGATCTTTGTTGACTGGTCTCTTGCTTTGCGACTCGTAGAACTCACACCACAGGTCCAACCATTGGGTCGAAGGACTATTCCACTCAATTCCCCCTTTGCCTTGTCGGAAGAACATGTTCCAGAAGTCGATTGCCGAGTCCACAGGAACACTTCGTTGCCCTTCGGGTTTGGCGAGCTTGAATGCATTGCGGTAGACTTGTCTGAAATAGGCTGGGGTATTGGCTAGTTTCTTTCTGATCACATCGACATACTGTGCTTGTCGTGCTGTCGTATCGTATGTCTTGTCACCCAAGCTGACACTTCGCCACCCGGAAACGAACGACTCGCGCTCGAACTCGCCGATGGACGGGCACTGCAACAGGTCACAGATGCCCAGGTGAGCCAATTCATCCAGTTCCACTCCCAGATCGGTCAGATATTTCTGAGCGCCCTCTATGCCAATTGTGTCTGGGGCGTCTTTGGGATTGTCTGGAAGGAGGTCAGTAGTTGCTCGTCAGAGTCGTCCTTGGTTAGGAGCATACCGCGATACTGGTCAAAGAGCTTGTTGAGGTTGTGCTGAATGGGAGGAACAGAGTTGTTGCCAGATCCACTTTGATAGAATCTGTAACAGAGTTTGTGTCAGTCACTCTTGATCGGTAAGCATTCGTGCACAGACCCTGGTGCCCTGGAACGAGGCGCTTTGCCACCACCCCTCCTGGCTCTTGTCGGCGCCTTCACAGACATAGGCGTCATGACTGCAGAGACATTCGGCGGAGATGATTTGGCGAGGTTCGCCTGGGCTGCAGATGCAGTAGGCTTGACCTTTTTAGTCTTGGGTGACTTCACGTCCAGCAACAGAGGTGAATCGGCGGACTTGCGTTTTGGTGGCATAGTGATAAGTTGATGGATGCACAGTAAACAGGTGGGAGAGAGAGACAGGCACATCCGTCACCCAGAACGAACAGTGAGCCCTCTGAATGGAGGAAGGAATGAACATGAGAAAAGGATCGACCTGCAGCTCGGCAAGCTGAGGTGACTTGACTGGGTTCAGGGTTGAGGGTTGAGATGATGCAACAGTCTTGGCAGGCACAGGCGCTGCCTACCTGATTGCCTGTGCCACTTTCACGTCGGTATCCCTTGCAGATTGAGGTCGGCCTCAAAGAAATACAGCGCAACAAAGGCTTAGGCACTTTTGTTTCATTCTGCCTGCCGTGGCCTTTGACACCCTGTGGCCCACTTTGTCACGCGACACATCACCTCCCCATGGGAACCCCAATTTCACAATACGGTGGACGTCTGTCAATTGGCACGAAAGAATTAGAGAAACGGCCGACTTACGAATCAAGCGCTCTTTCCACGTTCCAGTCGTGGGATTTCAGAAACTGCCCCGCTGCCCTCAGTCAGTTGCCTCCAAGAAGCTCGAGTTCACGTACCCTTGCGGCTATGCTCTCCTTGGCCTGAGTGAAATTGACAAATTGGGATATTGATGATCTTTGCGCGGGGGTATAAGTCGGCATTCTGCTTGGGATCTATCGCGCCAATGTCCTGATGCAGATGAAAGAAAAAGGTGGGCTGATGGTGGCTGATGCGAAAGGCAGACAGCCTTGCGAACGAAAATGGAGGATTAAAGTGGCGCTAATTGGAGAAGACTTTGGGGGTCTGAAGGGGTTTAAGAATAAGAGTCTCACGTTATGTGTGTGCAGCACAGGGGTCTTATAAGTGTCTCGATGATTTTAAAACAATGTTCTTTGACGACGTTGGAGAGAAGGGCACCCGAAGATGCGACGGATTGGGCTAAAAGTTGACGCAACCAGCGATGGCAACGGGATGGCAGGTGAAGCGAGGACTAAATTTTCATCTAATCTAATCAATTAACCGTCGAGAAATGAGAATGTGGTGGGGCACGAGGGGTAACGAGGAGGCTGCAGGACAGAATAGCACGTGCTAATGTCACAGCAGCTACATTCTTGTGCCAGACATGCACACTACACAAGAGAAATTCACATTATAAGGTATCCGCACAGAATATTCTCTTCCTCTTGTTACTTGGGTTTGACTTACTCGTGGCTCAGTTATTCAGGAGCAGTTCATGGCTGGAGACGAGGCTGTGCCGAATAGACCAATCGTCTGAAGCAGGAGGTTGACGGATCGTCCCCCTGGAGTGTGGCGTTAAGCCTACCCAGTAGCTAGGCAGCTAGGCACCAGAGGGACTGCCCGGAATGTGTGGTTATTTCAACGAACCGGGTGCTTCCTTTTGTATCTAGGCACCTGTTTTAGGCCATCGTCCGGGAACGGCGCGAATCTTCAGCCGCCACTGCTGCTTTAAGGTCTCGACGCATCATCTGCCTTTGAGGTCAAAAACTTCATCTTTACGACCAACACTATGGCGTATGCTTGCAATGCTTGCTCTCGGAGCCGTGTCTCCCGTAGCAACCAGCGGGGACGATAAACGTAGACGTAGTATGTTGCGCAGGCGGTGAGCCCGTACATGAGACGAGCAGCGGGCGGGCAGAGTCAAACCCCAGTAGAGGCACTGGAATAACAGAGTTTCTTGATTGCTGAGCTGCATCTGACAGGTGAAGGGAACCACCTGCCACAGCACGTAAAGGATAACAATCCCAACAATCGCCAACATTGTAACAAAGGCTACATTTCTCGGCGGTGTGGTGTCGACATCACGGAGGTTGTTGTTTTCGGCATTGCTCTCGTGAGGGACTGAGCCGATATCTAGGGACTTTCTACCGCTTTCCTCATGCGCCAACGTCTGGTGTCCGAACTGGCCATCTTCAGCAGCGACAAAAGGAGTTTTTTCGTCAACAAATTCGAGAATGTGGAGAGAGAATTCGCTCAAGAGAGGTGTCGCAATAATACAAAGAAAGTATCTGGTGACTGGCCGCATGTTTGCGATCGTGAAGGCTGTTGACTGTCTGAACCCACACGAAGGAAGGCTGGAACCCCGTCAGTAGCAGCAAGTGCCTCCTTACGCCAACATTTTGCTCCCTGTAGATATTTCTAGCCTAGCAGCCTAGTTCTCTTTCGCTCTCGAATGAAATATTATTAGTCTACACCACAAATCCCTATCATCTTGGACTTTGAAGTATTCTATCAGACACCAGAGCGGCATATGCCCACCATGATTGCATCGAAGGGCCAGGCGAGTCTAAAAGCGGCGGCAGCGCCCAGCCGACTTTGGTAGCAGTCGGACTCGGAGCTCAACCGCGCACCTTGAACACTCTGACACTCCAAGGTCGAGATCTAAGCCCAAAGCCAACTTGCGGTCCTGAGTCATTATTTTCATGCGATCGATGCGAGTATCAGCTTTTGAGTCTCACGATGCCCGCGCTCCTTGGCCAAGTCGACAGCTCGTCTCCCATCCCGAAGTGCAACATCCCTATCCGCACCTCGTTTCAGTAACCACCATACGACGTCGTTGTGGCCTCCGTAGGCTGCTTCGTGCAAAGGCGTCCATCCCCGGTTATCGAGTGGATCTGTCTCGCCTTTGGGAACCCCTTCCAGCAGCCGGCCCACCAAGCTGATGTTGCCGGCTCGCGCTGCATCGTGGACGGGTCGGCGTCCGCTTTTATTCGTGAGGACAGGATTGGCGCCGTTTTCAAGCAGGAAGTAGACCACCTCTTTGTGGCCTTCGCGGACGGCGAGATGGAGCGGCGTGTCCCGGTTGAATTTCAATTGTGCGTTCAGATCGGCACGATATCGGTGAAGCAGTGCCACAGCTGCTGTGCCCGCCCTCGCTGCATCGTGAAGAGGTGTGCTTTCCCATATGGAGTCTCGTGCATTCGGATTAGCCTTATGCTCCAATAGCAGCTGTACCAGGGCGAGATGACCACGGCTTGAAACTTCGTGTAAAGGAGTCTTCCCACTCTCAGCTGCTAGGTTGGGATCTGACACCCACTGGAGGAGAAGTTCAACGACGTGCTTGTGGTTGCGGAGGGCTGCTCGAAAAATCGCCGTCTCTCCTGGTCCCATAATGTCTCCATTGGACTGGATTTTCCATCGAGGGGCAGATAGTGTGGTCGAGTGAGACGACAGAGCGCCCAGTGGTCTGGATCGCAAAATGTCAGTTTCTCTTCTTCTAGCTCTTCTTCAGAGGGTTGGCCGCACCGGGGCTCCGTGTCCCGAAAGTTCGGATTGGCTCCCTTTCTCAGCAGATACAGCGCTTCCACGATCAAACCTAGATCAGCAGCAAGTCTCAACGCCTGGTGTAAAGGTTTTGGTGTGTGGGCAAAGTATGCCACAAGACCTTCGGCGACTGCGTGATGACTATCGTACGGCTGATGGACATTGCGACTCGCAAAGGAAGGGCCTGCTCGCAGATCAGACCAAAGATGCCCCAATGCCTATGGAACCAACCGACCACTGATGAATCCGAACGACTCGAGATAACCCCTCAAATAGTTGCGGACGGACTGGTACGTGTCGTCGGCCGAAGTCGCAAATTTGACCATGGTTGAATGATCGCCATCCACGGGGATTGCTTCTTCGATCTGATCCGGCAGATAAAACCTGGCAGAGGGTTCTTTCACAACCTCTATATACTCTCCGGAGCGCCCATACGAGCCGTCCTCATTCTGCCGAAATGTAAGACACGCATTGGTTGCTACCTGGACCGACCCGGAAACTTGCCTTTGCAACAGCCCTGGTCATTCGAGTCTCATAAAACGAAACGATCTTCTTGCCCATGGTCATGTTGATGAAGCTCTCCATGATGGGATTGATCCCCGAGGAAGATTCGATGATTTCCTTCACCAGCTTTTCCCTCTGAGGCGGATAATCTAAATCTTTGACCATTTTAGTAACATCGGAAAGGCTGATACCACGATGTGGTACACCAAAGAAAAGGAATGCATGAGTTGCTTTGACCAAAGACCCATCATCCTTCCCTCTGGCCTTGACAAGCGCCTATATTTCCAATCTCTTCGTCAGACTCGGCTTCTCCAGTGACGGAATCAATGGTATACACACATGAGCGATAAGAATGCCTCCAAAGCTGTGACCCAAAAAGACTATCGGCCGATTTCTCTCCTACATCATCTTTTGTGTCAGCCCAACGACCAGCGCCAATGGATGCCACACACCTCGCTGGTTTTTCTCGCTTTCTTGAGTTCCTCTAGAAAGTTTAGGACATAATCATTGATTCGGTGGACAGCTTGATCTTTCAATTTGGTGTTGTACCCGAAAGTCATGGTCCTACAAGCTTTCAAATATTCGTCCTCACAGAGAAAATCGCGAAGCCACATCCGGTCCTTCCCTCCGGTCCACGAACCGAAGGCATGGCCGTTGAGTCCGGTGACTGCAATAATGCTGCATAGATTCCTCGGTCAGCGTTTTGATGTGTCCAAAGGAGAATATTCTCCGTACTTACTCAAGAGGAATTCTGCTCCCGTGGGTTGGATACAGTTGAGTGAGACCATAGAAATCCTGGTCGATGTCTATGTCCCTGGAGTCTTTCACCTCGATCTGTTCTCTCTTCTCGCTAAGACGGCTGAGAAAGCCAGGCATGGATGGACTAAACTTGATGATTGCGGTTTGAGTCTCTCCATTGTCTGTGCATGTTGGAGCAAGTGTTATTTTGCATGTTATCGTCGTCTTCTCCGAGGCCTCGAATCGACGACAGATGATATCCTTTACACTCTCGACGCTAAATCCCAGGGGCACATTGCGGGCCCGGACTGTGTTCCTGTTCTTGTTGGTGGCCATGTTTGGTAGACTCTATCGCCGCGTCAAGGAGGATGACCACCAGAATCCAGTCGAGCGCTTCGGGAATATCTCACTCCATCATCCTCCGACAGTCATTACAATACAAAGGCAGAAATGCGGAGCTCGTATTCTATTTGCCTGAGGCAACCTGGTTGGCCGCATCACTTTAGGCAAACTACAGCTTCTGACTGGTCGTTGAACTGGACCATTTGCTGCACATCTGCCTGAAACCACTGGACACCAACCCCCTGTATCTCTCTAGGTTGCCAACTGACGTGTCTTGTTGACCTAGACCCACGTATGCAACTAGTCATGAGGCTGAGTAGATGGATACCCTCGCAGACACTTCCCACTCCTCCCTCAGACGAACGACAGAGCATTGGCAGATGCAACTGACACCAGGCCTGCAAATACATAAAGACAAGATCACATTACTGTCCCATCATTACCCGCTGTAACAACCACCATCCCCTCCAAAATGACCAAACACGCAAGCCAACTGGCGGAGAAATACACCCAGAGCCTGACTTCTATTCTTGGAGAGGCCAATCTGCGTAACCTCATAGAGAGCCATGTCAACAGATCCATGGACAGCATCGACAACGTCACTCCGGACGCTCTCGATGGACTCATAGGGGCAGTGTCCGAGCGATCGGCCATTGAAATGATAAGGATGTTTCCAGGTTTGCTCCAGGAACGGATACGGAGCCCAGCGATTCGGAATGCACCAAAGATGGATGATGGTAAGTCGAAACTCCTGAAATTCCCTCGAGTATGCCTTCAGCGGATACCTGATCCTTTTGCCTGGACAAAAATAGCTGGGCGTCCAGTCTCAAAGCCCACCTATGGACCACCCCTCGGAGGGAGTGACCTAGGGTACTTCAATAACAGAAACACCGATTGGGGGCTGGAAACAAAACCCTCATTCGACGGATCTCAGGCTTCAACCTTGGTCCCCGAACGCCAGGAGCCATATCAAGACCACCGAGGTCGTTATTCCTCGAACAATGAACCACCAAAGCGAGGTGTCGAGTTTTCCCAATCGCCTTTCACTCCCGAGAGACCACCGCCTACTCTACCACACCGAGATGTTGAGATATCTAACCCACCGTTCGTTTCTGGGGGACCATCACATACTCAACCACCCCAAGATGTCAGGTCTTCTAACCCCCCATTCATTTCAGGGAGATCACCAACATCTCAACCAAACCGAGGTGGTGTCGAGTCTTCTAAGCTACCTTCTTTTTCTAGGATATCACCGCGAGAAAATTCAAAGCTCGGTCCCATTTCAGAATGGCTCGAACAGAACCCGGAAAGCAACCGCAAAAAGGCAGCCCAGATGAAAGAGCCCGGCTCGACTGCCGTGGACCCAGCCGCATCATATCCCAGAGCAGCGGATGCAAATGTAAAACGGCCTCAAAGGGAGCTACCCACAACATACGGTAGCCTTAGGCAGCCTTCACCCAACGCTATAAGTTCTTCAACGCCGGCTCGGGAACGTGACCATGGGGCATTCTCTTCCGAGACCAGACATTCCAGAATGCGCGAAGAGCCCCCTCTCAGCAGCCGACCTGTGTCCCAAGATGAGGAGAGACCGCTAACCCCAGACGGTGGAACATCCGAGTCCGATCTCGAAGAGCGACCACTCACTCCTCTTTCCGATGATTCGGAACAAACATATGCGGAAGTGACCAAATCTCCGCAGAAAAGCCAAGAGTACCTGACAAAGACGATCGAGAATATCGGACTCACAGAGTTCTACGACAAGGACCACCCCAGGGTGCAGACCGTCGCCGCCAACGCTGCCGCCAGGGCGGCCGATGTTTCAGCCCGATATGAACTAACACCGAAAACCACCCTTGGAGCGATCAAACTCGCCCTGTACAACTTTGTGATCCTCTGTGGTAAGTTTTTGCCCTCACTCCGGAAAGGGGAGGGCTCATCATCATCTGGCTTTTTTTTTGGTTTCCGCTGGCTAATTCGTGCGGTGCTTCACCACAGATGATAGCACTTCGATGAAAAAAGAAAATCGGATACCAGCACTGCGAAATACTCTGAAGCGTGTCGCGGAAATCGCGACATTGTTCGAAGATACGGGCATCTCTATCCGCTTCCTCAATTATACCCGGGATTCGTGGCTCGACGACCTGAGACAGCCAGACGACATTGTGCAGAAAGTCGAGAGGGTCCGATGGAGAGGGATCACGCAACTCGGAAACAAGTTGCATGACAAGATCATACGGCCCATGATTGTCGAGAAGGTGAAGCGGGGGACATTTGATACGCCCTTGATTGTGGTCATCATCACCGACGGCGAGGTAAGTAACACAGGACATCCGGTTCGAAACACCCTCCTCGGGAGGCTCTCAGTTGTGGGGTTTTCCGGCCTTTCCTTTTCCTTCCAAGTCTCTCTTTAGCCTCGAGAAGCTATACATAGACGAGTTTCCAAATCCGAGACTGACTGACTGACTGATTGATTGATTGATCGCCATCACAGCCCTACGGCGAACATCGCGAAACGCTGCGCGACAAGATTCGACAGTGCAAACAGGACCTATCGGGCACGAATTTCGGCGACGGGTCTGTCGTCTTCATCATCTCCCGCGTCGGAAGCAGTCCCGAAGCCTTGGGGTTTATTGGCGAGCTCGAAAACAGTCCCGGACTGGAGCAGATGGTGTACTGTTCCCCCGATCGGCTGGACGAGAAGATGGCCATTTTGCAGCCCGCCGCCGGGAATACCAAGTATACCAAATACGTGAGTTCTCCGTTCGTTCCCAACTGTAACCCCGAGAGAAAAAAAAAAGATTCCGCAAGGCTGACATTTTCGGCACGTTGGTGGGGAACAGTTGATTGAATTGTTTGTGGCTGCTTTGGACAATCAGACTGGGTGACGGGTGACAGGCTAGCTAGAGTACTAGAGTACTAGAGTACCAGACCACCAGAGTTTGAGGAGAACAATCACGACAACGACACCACGAGGAAGGCACTCAGACAATAGAGGGAGCGACACTTTTGGAACGATCCGACGCTGGCAAGTGGGGATGCTTCTCACAAGATCTGTCAAAACCCTTGCAAGTTACATAAACTGTCAGACGTCACTGTCAATTGTAACTTGTAACTGTGACAATGATGCAAGCCATGGGGAGGAGAGGGAGCTCATGATGAGGATTGGAAAGGAGTCATAGCAACTCTGTGATCTGTGAGGGGCACAGAATAGCGTATGGATAGAGCTGTATTAGGATCGTCGTGATCCAATTGACCTCTATATATCTTCATATAAAACTCTGTATGCATATGAAACTATCTACTCGTATGGAACCTATCTACTGGAAAGACAGTGGTCATGGCCAAAGGCCCGTGTTATGCTTTCGCAAAGTCCTCCACACCGAGTCAGGCACCGGCATCTAGATAGTGTCCTCTGTCCCGAAGCCCATCTCTTCAACACATAGCTGGTGGTTCGCCATGATAGTGGTTATCACAGCGGCTGGTCATCTGGCCGTCCAACACGTCCCAGCCGGTGCCGAGCAGAGACTCTACCACATTCTGCCCCGCTAGTAGCTCGTGGGACCGGGCCTGTGGCCGTTCGCTGGGCCTGGACTTGGTGCCGTGTTCATATTTGGCCGTGAGGCTTCATGGTTGAGTGAAGCGCGGGCGTTGCTATCTGGTCGAGATGTGGATTTCTTGGCTTCCTCTCTTCCAGACTGCCTTGTTGCCTCCTTGCCCGTGAAATACAATGTCTGATCTGGCTCGTTCTTCGTGGAGGTGCTGTTGACGGGGGCTTTGGCTGTCTGAACCGTATCCAGAGCCGGTGCATGATAAGGCTCTGGCTTCAAAATGCCGCCGTTGACGTGTTGCTCAGTCGTGCGACCCGGGACTGCATGGTGGTTTTGACTCCTTTGATTTGGGACGTTTCCCTGTCGCTGGGCCAGTCTCTCTGCAAGCTTGGTCGGGAAGGTGCACGCGACTTTGATGGCATTCTCGTAGGCCAGGAGCTCGAGGTGCAACTCCAATACCGACGGGTCGATGTGCAGAATGCGTGAGTCGGCATCCTTCTGCTGAAGATGGCTACTGAGCAGAGTGACCAAGTCGGTGCTTTTCAACTTGGCGGTGAATTGAGCAATGAATTTCTCCGTCAGATCTTGGGGCGAGATCGCGTGCGCCATGTTTGATGGAGTCGTTGGCCGAGTTGAAGTATATAGATTTTCGAGGCAGCTATCGTTCAAAGAGGAGGAAATTGATGCCGAAGGAATGAAGTGTCATGTTGCAATATCGACACTGGATTTATAGAGCCGGTGTACGTACCAAGACGAATACTCGGTCCACTTAGACAAGAAGGGCGACCTCAACCCATTCTGCTGAGCCTCATCCATAGCCCATATGGGACCACGTCTTGTTCAGGTCCTTGGACAGGCGTAGGCTAAGGACGTTTACCAACACAGAGTATTCGGCCAGCTCATTCCCTCGATCCTCGTGTTTGGTGACGACGCAATCTCTCCGCGAAGAGGTCGCCATCGAAAGAGGTGTGCGGGCGCCAAAGTGGTGAGGCTGAGAATCGATCCAGACCGTCGCTTAAGGCTGATTTGTACATGCATTCGAAATCTGGCACGCTTCCGGCAAGATATTGGCTCTCTTGAGGTGTTGCAGTGCGCTGTCAGTGCAAATCCCAGGCGGCCCCCCTGCAGGATTGCTGCCTAAGGCGCAGTAGGCGTTCATGCGGGAGCAGTATAGTCACTTTTCATTGCGGGGGCAATAACTGGTCAAGTACCCCGAGCTGCAGTGCCACCTCAGAGGGTTGGTCCTTAGCTTCTACCGCGAACTTCTTCAACGGTGATAGTATACCTCGTAGAGTGTTTGGACGCCAGCACATTGGGTTCACCAGTTCGACGGGCTCAATGCACGACGAGACAGGAGTCCTCCCTTGAGCTTGCCATCCTAGAGAAACCATTGCACTGCCGGGCCACCCTCATCAAAAGAAAAAGGCAACGTGTAGAAGTATCAGGCTGTTTGCTCTGTTGGTAGTTCTCCTACACATGTCAGAACAGTGAAGCGGTAGTCGACACTAACAGCCTGCCTGGAATCTCGTGCCTCACTTTGAGAACGATTGGAACTTTTGCGATGCCAGTCCGTCTCCGTGTCGCTCTTCTCCTTACCAAGGTCGTGTTGTTTGTGGGTAATGGCGCAGATGGCGCAGATGGTGCAAATGTCCCAAGTAGTTCAGCCTCACGGCCCTCTCCCTCAGCCCCTGCAGATCTCGTTTGAACGTTTTCGTGCCACCCTCGACGTTGAAGAGCACGAGCAGTTTCGACACACACAGTTCCAAGACGTCGTTTCCGAGGTCCAACGGCTGGAACGGAAGCAGGCGGCTTCCAGTCGCACCCGCAAGATCCAGTCCCGGATTGAACCCTTCCTGGTCTTTCTCGAGCGGTATGGGCGAGCCCTGGACACGGCGACGCAGGCGCGACCTGTACCATTCTCTCTCGTGTGGGGGCTGGTGAGAGCAGTGCTGGTGGTTCGTCCATCCTCTGCAATGGAACACCGCTGGATAGTGTTGACGCAGTCTTAGGTTTCTTCATCCCATTCCCAGTATTTGGAGAGGTTGATCCATGCAATCGAAGACATCAGCGATAAAGTCTCACTCTATGCCGAGTACGAGAAGCTTCTCAGGGGCGATGTTCGTTTCCAGGCCGCACTGGCAGAGGTATACTATGATACCCTGGTGTTTCTGCACAAAGCGAAGACGGTATTTTCCAAGCGCGGTCAGTTGGCTCTGTTTTCTCGAAAACCCGGTCTCGACGCTTACAGGTGGTAGGCTTCAGCTTGCTTTGGAGAAACGTCTGGCGAACGTTCGACCTTGATTTCCGTGACACTCTCAGAGCTCTTTCTCGACACTCGGTGATTTTAGAAAATGAGATCGCGCTATCGAACGACACCAAAGTTGTTGACCTCTGGAAAGGGTATCCGGAGGCGCGGCAGAACATTTCGAGGTGGCTGTCTCCAGCCGATGCACAAGATGACTTCCTCAGAGAGTCGAATCGGCGCATCTCGTCGTGCGGCCGATGGCTCCTTGATCACCACCTCTTCCGAGAGTGGTACCAATCCATCGACAACCGCATCTTGTGGATTGTCGGACCACCAGGCTCGGGCAAGACGGTCCTCAGTACTTCCATAATCGAGCACATCCAAACCTCTCGAAATGCTCATGAGCTCAAATCTGTGGCCTTCTTTTACTGCTCCCAAAACTCTCGGCAGAACCGGACCACCATTTCCATCCTGGCCACTTTGATCGCACAAATAATAGCCCAGTTTGAAGACCTGCCAGAGGTGGTGCTCGAATTCTACAACAGGTCGACGAAATGCGCGAGGCCTCGACTTTCAATGGCCGACCAACCTCTCCTCCTCATCACGTCTCTCTGTGGCCTCCTGGATGAAGTCTATATCTTGATAGATGGGTTAGACGAGGCCGAGAGTCCGGACGAGGTACTGCGGAACATCCTCACCCTCACCGGGTCTACCGTGACTATTCGTACCTTGATATTGAGCAGAGACTTACCTCGATTAACCAAGCAACTTGGTTCTCATCCACACTCTTTCTTGAGAATAAAGCCGAGAGACACAAGAGCTGACATTGACATGTTCGTCACAAGTCAATTGTCCAAGCTCGACTTTGTTGATACAGAATTGCATGACAAAATGTTTGCTAAACTCTCCCAAGGAGCAGATGGCATGTTCCTCTGGGCCAGCCTTCTCTTACAGTCGTTGACGTCGGCGACGAGCACCTACGATGCGATGGATATAATCTCCAACCACCCGGTGGGCTTGAATTTGACCTACAACGCCATCTTGGAACGATTCAAAACAAGGTCGCGCCAAAGTCAAAGGCTCACCAAGAGATTCTTGACCTGGATGTGTTGCGCCGCCCGCCCAGTCGGTTGGAATGAGTTAACAGCAGCCTTGGCTGTTGGCAGGATCGAAGAGATACCATTTAAAGAGGCGATGCTGGAAATTTGCAGTCCTCTGGTCGAATATCTCCCAGACCAGGATATCTTCAGATTTGTCCACATTTCCGTTCGGGAATTTCTGTTGGATGTGACCGGAAATCATTCTGTGCAAGCAAGTGACGATGGATCGAGGTTGCCCTTTCAAGAGGCAGATGGCCACTCTCATATTGCAAAGATATGTCTCAGGTACCTCCTCCAGGCTGCCGAGATGGAGACCAACCTCGCAATCGACGCTTTATTCCCGTTATCTGAATACGCCATGTCCTTCTGGGCGTACCACCTAGTACGATCCAGATATGAACCCGAGCTCGATGAGATGATGCACAGCTACTTGGCATGCCGTCGGCGACGCTTAAGCTGGATCGAGCGGCAACTATTTGGTGAAACGTCAGTCTTCCCTTTGCAACACCTGGTCAAACTCCAAAAACAGCTCTGCAAATGGGCATCCGCGGGGCAGCGGGAGCGCGATGATCGCCTAGATTGGATTCGAGATGTTGAGCAGATCTTGTTGGATGTAGAGAACGTCGAAGAACAGCACGATTGCGGCTCAGAGATAGACAGCACCGGCAGGGCCAAGGTAACGTACTTTGAAAAGCTGATGGTCATCAGAGACCTCTCCCGAGAATATACCATGAGCAACAGGCTCGATCAAGGTGAGAGATGGATGACCGAGGCTCTGCGGAGGAAAGAGGAATCTCCCCAGCAGGACGAGCTGTCGACGGTTTGGTTGTTGAACAGCTTGGGAATTATATACGACCAACAGCAGAAAGTCGAGCTTGCTGCTTCTACGCAAGAGAAGGCACTCGTGATCCAGGAGAAGCATCTGGGAACTAGCCATCCGGAAACAATCTGGACGGTCAACGAGCTTGGCCGTATGTATAGACACTTGAAGCGCACTCAAGACTCCATCTCGATGCATTTGCGAGCACTTGCCGTCTTGGAGACGTCTGGAGACGATTTGCAAGTGGCTTGGACCTTGAACACACTGGCACGAGCATATCGACAACTGGGGGACCCCGTGACTGCAATATCACGCCACAGAGAGGCCATTGCTATTCAGGAGAAGCTCCTCGGTGCCGACCATCCTCACGTCCTCTGGGCCACGGCTGACATAGGCCGATGCTACCGCGACCAAGGAAAATTTGTCGAAAGTGCACAGCACCACCGTATTTGCCTTGAGGGACGGAAAATAGTCCTGGGCATGGACCATCACGATACCCTTTGGGCGATCAATGACCTGGCCTTTGTCGTGGAGGAGTTTGACAAAGTTGAAGCCAGGAAACTGCACCAGCAGGCATTAGCTGGCCAGACTCTTCTTCTCGGCGTCTCCCACCGTGACACCGTCTGGACTAGAGTGCAGATCGAGAAGCTTGAGGCTCAGATGGGTCGGATGGAAGAAGCAGGATAATGCACTGCAACCGGCGGGTTTTGGATTCTCTTTTTCGTCATCTTTTTTTTTTCGTCGGGCAGATCTTGGATTGTAGTATTTCAGTACATTCAGAGTATCCATTCAACAGACCAAAGGAGTACATGTCGGGTCTCAAGGACTAAAATGGCCCTAGGAGGAAAGGACACTTCCGATATGGATGCAAAATTCTCGAAGAGATCTCGGACTCGATATCGAGGCTAAACCCTGATTAGCTAGGCTACACAAGCTAAAGCACCGGCCAATAACAAGATCCACAGAATCACGTAAACAAGTCGGCCCGCCCACCAAGGAAACTCTGCCGATGGGTCTGAGACCGAGGACAAAATAGGTACCAACTCGTGCCCAGGCACCTGGGAACTTGTGCAGGTAAGGTGAGGAGCTAGGCCCCCCGCTACTTAGTGACCTTTTCCCCCCCTGAAGCTCAGCTAGCACAGCCCTGTCACTAAGCTGCAGGCTAAACCCCTCCTTGTCACCAGGGCTGGTGAATGGTATGTCCCTCAGACCGTTGCCATCATCACAAGTTTTGTGAATTTCAGTAACTTGGTTCCCCCTTTAAAAGGGTTGTTCAACGTCCATCTGAAACTCCCTCTTCTCATCTCTACCTTGCTCTTCTCTTCCTCCTGAATCTTGACCAGCAACAGCATCTCAATCATGGGTGTAAGTACCATCTTTCAGCTCATCTTTCCCCCCTTGATCTGCCCCGCACCAATACCCAATCCTCCCCGTACCAGTTCAT